CAAAGAAAGATTACCAACCACCACAAATCGCAGGAGGAAGAGATCAACTTGGTTTTTCAAAGAGGCAAAAGTCTAAGCCCCTCCTGCTCCAAAATAGACGAGCATTTCCTACAATGCCAGTGAACTAACAATGCAATGATATTGTGAGAAATTTAAAGACCACAATATTTTTTAGGTTGTGTAAGAACAAAAACATTCACTGATTGAACTAGGAATCCATCTACTCCAGCATTTAGTGTACAACAATGTACAGGCAAATGATTCTTGGGAGGTTTCTCCTGTTTATTAGCTGTGGCACCTCAGGTATAGCAATATTTTTTTACCTGTTCCCACTGTTAATTTCACCCAGCAGTTCCAAACCATGTTTTAACCCAGGGGAGTTTAGAAAGTATATTATTACAGCTGATGCTTTGGGAAAACTTTCTCATTTTCTTTATTATATGATATAAGCAAAGTGAAAAGCAGGGCTTCAGTTTTTTATTGACATAATTGTAGAGTTTTCAGGAAAAAACTTGGACATTTTCAGATTGTCACATTTTTAATCATGAAAAAATGAAATAAAATAAGTTGCACCCTTGCTTCAAGATTTCCTGCTGGAAACTAATTTCTCTAAGAATGCTGGAGAAGTCTAGCTAAGCTTTTGGTGATAGTTATTTGTTTGTCCTTAGATCAAAATACAATCACAGATAATACCTTAATTCTCATATATGGAAGTGATTTCTGAAAATATGAGCATTTACAGTATTTTCAAATAAATATATTTTTGGATTGGACTACTTTCTTCCATAAAAAATTCTGACTAAGATATAGCTTTTATAATTACTTTTGAAATAAACTTGAAAATAGAAAATAGAATCAGACATCATTAAGCTACCCTTTATATTTCCTTTATTAAAAATGACCCACCTATGGCATGAAAAAAAGATTCATAACATGAATTATTTTCTGATCTCTGTAAAGAATAAAAAAAAAGAGTCATGCTGTTGGAAGAAGGAAGGAAGTTTCCAAGGCTGCCTATTGATCTTTCTTCCCAATGCATAAAAGAATTAAAATGGGCTATTTTTGGATTTGTGCATTGGGAAAAAGGTAAAACTCTTTCATTTAATCCATTTTTGAAGACATGTCATTTGTTTGCTGTTTTCACTTCTACAAATATCTTAATATACTAAAGACTCGTACATATTTGCAAAATCATGGGATTATTGTACACATTTAGAAGGCACCCTGTTGGGGAAACCTGCAGCTGGATGACTACCCATGGATACAATAAGGATGTAGAAATACTGCTGCTTCACCAGTCTTGTTATCCATTATAATTTCATATCAGTGAAACTTTGTCCAACTCTGAATACACAAGCAAGCATCTTTTCAGAGAAAGGCCTTAAAAACAATATAGGCTTTCTCAAGCTCTTCCCATTGCTCTTTCAAATGATTACAATAAACAATATATATATAATACAGATAGCTATGATTTAAAAATGTATGACTATACACTTAATTATTAAATTAGTAGAAATATAGGAAAGTCAAAGGATTTTTTCATTAATGATGGATGATAGAACTTTCCCTTAGCATATTATTGTACAAGTGGAATTTGCAAACAAAATGTTCCAGATATACTGGAAAATGCCAGCTGTCAACTGTATCTATTCCCAGAATATCCTATGCTTGCTTTTCTGAAAAGTCAAGGAAGAGAAGGGAGGGGGATTTAAACATGGGAGAAAGAATTTTGTAAGCCAGTGGTCAGATGGAATGAGAGACTGAGGTCTTTCTGATTTGCACACAACAGGTTTGGTCAAGATCGATGCCAAAGAGGCCCTTTCTGGATGACTACCTACCTCTGGTGAGAAGAGTGACTTAGAAGAAGGCCCCTGAAGACTTCCAGTGAATGCACGTGTAAAATAATAATTTGATCAATTTACAGTTTTAAATATAAAAAACAACAGTTCAATTTTAATTTGTATTGATTATTTCTTCAATTGATAGCTCACACTTTCCTCTAAGAAATTCAGTGAGGTATATATCAGGGTGAGTCCTCATTTTGTACTTCATGACGTGTGAATAAAGTTGGGAAGAGAGATAGTGACTGGCCATAACCCAGTGGAAATTTGAATCTAGATATTAATATTCATCCAGCACTCTGAAAATTACTCATCATATGATCAGAGTTGAGCCCAAAATTTCTGTTGCTAAACAAGACATTTATTAAGCGAGTTTTGCCCCATTTATGGCATTTCTTGCCACAGTGGTTAAGTGAATTACTGCAGTTGTTAAGTTAGTAACACAGTTCTTAAATGATTCTGGCTTCCCTATTGTCTTGGCTTGGTAGAAGGTCGCAAAAGATATTCCCATGATCTCGGGACACTACAACCATCATAAATACGAGCCAGTTGCCAAGTGTCTGAATTTTGATCACATGACCATGAGGATACTGCAATGGTTGCAAATGTGAAAAACAGTCATAGGTCACTTTTTCAATGCCATTGTAACTTTGAACGATCACTAAATGAACTGTTGTAAGTTGAGGACTACCTGTATACCAAATTGGTTTCTTAATTTGGAGTTAAAAAGAAGCTGGGAACAATAAAAGCTAGCAAAATACAAGAGCAATATAACAAAGCACATTCATTATCTTGAACCCTATTCCGGATCAACTGTAGTTTCCAATCCATTGTTAAAAACATTTCTATTTTTACATTGGAAAATCCCAAAGAACAGACACTAGTAGATAATTGTAGCCACCTTTTTCCAATCCAGGTAGGGTTACAAATATTGTGTCAGAAAATATGCTAACAAATGCTTCAAACAACAGAGATAATTCAATTTCCCATCCTTCAGTCCAAGATATGGAATCTGTAGTATTCGAGTTGTTGCCAAGCCATAATTCTCAACATCCTGAGACATTGTGTTCAGTTGTAATAAATGTTAGATCCACCAGGTAGGAAAAATGAGAACAGAAACACATGAAATGGTTATGTTATACGTAACAGTTATTTATATTTATTGTTTGGATTCCGTGACCCACTGTGTAAATTTACTAAGAATAGTTTTGCTTTCCCCATTTGTTTCTTAGCACATGAAATTATAGTTCAGCTCTATATTAGACCAGACTAAATACTATTGCTCTGAAAATAACGAATGTAGGATTTAAAATAAAATAAATCATCTACCTCTGATTTTATGTTATTGTGATGTCATGATATTTTGAAGTTTGATATAAGAATATCTGATGTTACCATTCATGGGAAAAAAGCAATCTAAGAAAGGAGGAATAAAAGATGAGAGGCTAATCATTTATGATTTATATTGACGCTAGCTACTTAACAGATCCATTTCCAGCTTAAGAGAACAAAGAGGAAATCTAAAATTGCACAGGAAATGATTAAATATTTAGACTATGCTCTCCATAAAGGGGGATTCAGATAACTTCAATGGGAAGTATCTGAATGGAAATGTAAATAAACTATTCATTCTTAAATATTACCCTCATAATGGAAGTGAACAGTTTATTGCTCAAGTCAAGAGATATATTATCAGTAAATGATGGGTTAGAGTTTCATTATGTTATTTCTTTGCCTCTGCAGCTCTGATCAGGGTTTCAGAGAAGAGTTCATATTCCTTATATACTATTTTAATCCTTTTGAGGCTTTATTTTTTTATTTTCAAAAGTGCAAAAAAATGTATAAAAAATAAAAACAATACTAATAAAAGAGTGGAAGGGAACAGCTTATTGGGGCAATCAGATTAGGGGAAAGTAAAAAATGATACCAATATCAGTCATTTTATATCTTTGTACCTATCTTTTCAAACTATACCTACATCACATCTATACACTAACTCATAAGCTTTATACTTCTCATCTCTCTCTTTCATGATCTCTACTATTCCATTTTTCCACAATATTCTCAATATTTCTCTTCCTTTCAACCTATTTATTTCTTCTTCTTCATATATTTGCTTTAGAGCTCAGTTGTCCTTCATTTTCTCCATGGGACAAACTACCTCAAGTTTCTTACAGGTTATTTATCTTGTATTAAGTCAACGTGCATTCAGTATCAATTTATTCTTGACCTTATCTTTTCTTGTTTTATAGTGCATGCTTCTTAAATAACCCCTTTTCATTACATCATATTATTTTTATGCTTCTGATATAGCCATCTCTCTCTTTTACAAGACAAAGTACATTATTATAAATCATTTTCACTTATTTTGACAAACATCCATTACTTGCAGAAGAATATATACTACCCATTACCTTTCTACTTGAATTTGTGTGTCTTAACATTTTATTGTTTCCCCATCTCCAGCAAATATTGTATTAAAAGAGTAGTGTGTTTGCTATAATTTTTTATTATTTACATATAACTTGCTTTCATTCACCCTGTCAGACACAACCATCTTGGCTTGTGATGGATTATTTTTTATATCCATGCTTTTTTAGTATTATACAAGAACTAACATTCACTACAAGTCATTTTGCCACAATCTAGAATTATTTTTATGAAAAAGTACATGTACATTCTCTAACATACCCAAACAGTCTTACATCTCCAAGCATTTTTCCATTAAGGAATGGAATGTAATAGCAACTGAAGTTCAGTATCTAGGAAAATAGAGAATATTCTAAGTTCAGAAACATCTCTAAATTGTGTACCAGCTCCTTCTTGGAAAGTATAAAAAGCATAAAAAGACATTTCCTGCTTCTCAAGAGCTGTATGCTTTGTCGGGATTCAATTCATTTATTTTTTTCCATTCAGCTCTTATGCAGACAGGCATTCAAGGGAGCTGTGACATTACCTGAACATATTATAGAGCAATAAGTATGAGTGTTGTCTGCATAAATAGTGTCACTTCCATATTTACTGATGATCTCATCACAGTTCCATGCAGAGAGTGAAAGACGAGTCTTCTGGGATACCACATAATAGCTCCCATGTTGAGGAGCAACTGTTTCCAAGCAATTGAATCTAAAACTTACTTGTGAGATAGGAGTGGAAAAACAGTGCCTCCTATTCTCAAATCTCCCAAGGGATTCAGAAATATAGAGCAAAAGTTACAAAGAATTTGAGAAGAATCCACTGAATTCCACTATTTCTGTTGATCTACAAACAAGTAACACCCATCAGGCCAACCAATGAAGTCCCAATTCATAGCCTGCAAAGTCCCCAAAGAAAGAAAATGGAGATGTAAAGTAGAGTCACAGTTTTGTTAGCATATTGGAAAGAATATATGCAGTGAGCTTTACTGCTATGAAGGTATGGGCTGCTACATGCTTTCTTTGCTCCTAAGTTCAAAAGTATAGAACTATAAATGTGCAAGCCTAGTGAATTCCTTTTTTATTCTAAAATGCATTTTAAATTTAGCCTCATGAATGGTTTTAGTGAATGTGATTGCAGTTATTTAAACTTTTACATCTGTAGCCATTGGATAATGTTAACTAGGTTTTTAATAATAGCTTGAATATTTTTTATTTTATTTTTAAGTGACCTGTTTTGAAATTAATGCCAAGCTATTTAAAGACAGCTTTAGCCAAACTCCCACAAAGTAGGTGAAATAACCCTTCATACAAATCATTAGTCAGTAACCAATCTGACTACTTTAAGTTCTATGTAGTATTCGATTAACAGATTCACAAACAAAGGCAACACAACATGTTTTGTCACACTAACTCCCAAGACCTTCTTCTGTTTTTCTTAGGAGTCTTCGACTCATCTGATGCAGTCTTTGAAATGACAGATGCATACACCCCAAACATCCATAATTTAGCAAAAAAATATTTTTTCAACATCTATCTATTTTGTTTATCTATATTCTTTACCTTGTGTGGCTATAATTTTGGACAATCATAAGCACAAGTTGGGACAATGAGGTAATAGTATTTTGATAGTTTTATTGAAGTTGATCACCTAACTGTACAGACAAGCCAGCTTTAAATAGAAAACATTTTTCTTGTGTATGATATTGATAACAGCCAGCTTGATAGAGTGATTAAGGTACCAGGCTAGAAACTGGGAGACTGTGAGTTCTAATCCCATCTTTGGGACAAAACCATCTGGGTGACTTTGGGCCAGTTGCCTTCTCTCAGCCCTGAGAAGGAGGCAATGGAAAACTATTTCCAAAATCTTGCCAAGAAAACTGCAAAGACTTGTCCAGGTAGTTACCAGAAGTAATAAACCAGACTTAAAAGGACATATACAGAGAAAGAATGATGAGTAAAATAAAGAATAATTCTTAACATCCTTTCTGATTGCACACGCAGTTCTCTACTGTCCATATCATACCTAGTCTTAACTTTAATATACTTAAAACAGGATGCTATCTAATACAAATTTCACTATTTATCTGTCTAGCCTATGTTGTTTACTAGATAACGTTAGCCAATATCTTTTGCCTAAACATACCAACCAGAATGGATAATACGTGGACCATTCCGAATGCAAAACAAGGCAAATGTGCCAGAAAATAATGGAACAATGGAATGTTTAACACATGTGAGGAATGGTGCCTACAGAGATGGAGGTGGTGCGATGGACTGCAACAAAATGATAGTTTCCCAGGAAGGTGACAGCACATTCCCAGGAGGGAAGTGACACAAAAGCAATACAACCTGGAGCTGAATAGGAAACAGAGGAAGAAAGTTAGGATAGCTACTCCCTAGGATTTTCCAGGGAATAGTCATTGGGGTAAGAGTAGTAAAGGTTTAGTTTGATAAGATTCTGTTGACTGGATTGAATTGAATTGAACTTTGGTTGGATGGTTCTGTGTCATTCTTGTGCTGGGCCTAACAATGCAGTATTGTCAGGAATCATAGTATTAAAAAAGAAGAGAATAATAAAAAAATATATATTTCTTCTTTTTTCAAAACAAAGGGCCTATATTTGTTAAATATATCCTCAAATTCAAGGAACTGGAATAATTAGGAAATACTATAGGTTGGAAGCAAAAATGCCAACTTTGGATCAACTTATAGATGATGATTTCTAACATGCTTTGTGTTAAGAGAAAAATGTCATGTACCAGATGTAATCCAATGGCAATAGTTACACTTACAACATTTGTTAACAACATCATTAGGACCACCAGCATTTTTAGCTTCTATCTGAGATACTAGAATAACTCGTTGAATCTTTTAAAACTAAAAAAAACCCCTACTATTAGTTACTATGGTTATTTGTTACCAATGAATCAAATTGATAAACAGATGCAATAGAATGAGTGGAATAAAGAGTTAGATGTTCCTATGTGACCTAGAAAGCAGGAACTCCAATTCAGACTTACACACCAAAAAATATTTGGAATGTATTGAACTCTGTTACAATTACAGAAAAGAATTGCCAAAAGCAGCATTTTGTTGAGAGATGTAATACATATAATGCATGTTTCTTTAAAACACATTTTTATAATACCTTACTCTTACCAAATTTGGGGTGAAAGTACTGGTTTATATAAATATAATAATTCAACAAAAGCTAACATTTTCAGATAAAAAATATTCTTTTGAACTACATACCTAGTGCTTGGAATTTGTCAATTGGACAATATAAATGGATTCTCCATGCCCTTATTATAGCCCAAAGCCTGATATTGCAGCATTGGAAAGAATAATCTATGGCTCCTTTTACTCAATGGATTGAGGGCCTGATTGCATTTGCCACTTATGAGTGGCTTGCCTATAAATGTGCTCTATATATGGACAAATATAATGAAATATGGGAGTCATTTATACAAAATACAATAGGTAAAAATGATAGTTATACAAATATATATATATATATATATATATATATATATATATATATATATATATATATATATTATAGGTCTTTGGTTATTCGGATTTTCTCCCGCGTAAAATTGGAAGTGTCTTGGCGACGTTTCGACGAAGTCCCATTCGTCATCTTCAGGCTGGTGTTTTCAGCTTCGTGCTTCAAGGAGCAATGTGTGATCTTAGCTGTTTCTTCCTTTTAACTGCCAGTGGGGGTATGAACTGATTGGGTGGGAGCTTGGCTGTGTTCTGATTGGGTGGAGGTGTGTTCTGAATGGTTAGGGGCTTGGCTGTGCTCTGATTGGCTGGGGGAGTGTTCTGTTTGGTTGTGCTCAGGATAGTCTGAGTTGCAGAGGGGTTTGAGATTTTGGGCTGCCTTGCTATTTTTTGGCTTCGAGTTTGTGGTCGTGCTTCCTCTTCATGGAGGGTGTCAGTTTGCTTCATGTATGGATTGGAGGGGTTTAAAGTGGCTAATGATGCAGCTGTGGTCTGGCTTCTGGTTTGTGGTCGTGCCTCGTCATCGGTGTGGCTTTGGGTTTGGTTTTTGCGTGGATGTGTGGTGGTGACCTCCTGTGTGGTTTTTGTGAGTGTGGGTCTGGTATCATTTTTTGTGTTAGGGAGTCGTTTGTCAATAAGGGCGGGTTTCCAAATGGCTGGTAGGCGGGAGGTATCATCTAGCTTGTTCATGCTGTGTGGGCGTTTTTCTATCTCGATGGCTTCTCTGATTATTCTGTTATTAAAATGTTCACTTTTGGCAATGGTTCTGGGATTTTTAAAGTCAATTTCATGTCCTGTGGCTTTAAGGTGTTGGACCAGGGAAGATGTTGGTTCCTCTTTTTTGACTGAGTTCTTATGTTCTTCAATGCGTGCACTTATTCTTCTGGTGGTTTGTCCAATGTATGTGGTGGGACAAGTGGTGCATGGGATTTCGTATACTCTCCTTGATTTTCTAATTCAATTTAATCTTTGGGGTTTCTAAGGATGGTGGATATTTTTCTGTTTGTGCAGAATGCTGTTTTGATGTTGTGTTTATCGGAGGATCTACGATTCTGTCTGTGGATGCGCGCAGATTAGCGGAGTTTGTGGTGTTTCTTCTGGGAGATGGTGCTCTTCCTAGGAGCATTGGATTTCTTGTCGACTAAGACATCCAGGAAGGGAAGTGGTTGTTAGCTTCGTGTCCATGGTGAACTGTATTTTGGGGTGTAGGCTGTTGAGGTGTGTGAGGAAGTTGGCCAGTTTTTCTTTCCCATGTGGCCAGATTATGAAGGTGTCGTCTACATATCTGAGCCAGAGTTTGGGTTTGTGATCCGATTTTTCTAGAGCTTGGGTTTCAAAGTGTTCCATGTAGAGGTTGGCAATGACAGGTGAGAGGGGTGATCCCATGGGTGCTCCTTCTGTTTGTTTGTATTTTGGTCCGTTATAGATGAAGTATGTGTTGGATAGGCAGTGGTTGGTCAGATCTAAGATGTGTTTGGGGGGTTATATTTGTTTTGGATAGCTGTCAAGGCTTCTTTGATAGGCACTTGGGTGAAGAGGGATATGACATCGAAGCTCACAAGTAGGTCGCTGGGCTGTAAGTTTTGTTTCTTTATGATCTCTATAAACTGGAATGAGTTTTTTACGTGTGAGGTGATGGATTCTGCATAAGGCTGTAGTTGTTTGGCGAGAAATTTGGCTAGGTTTTGTAGAGGTGAGCCTATGGAGCTGACTATAGGTCTGAGTGGGTTCCTTCTTTGTGTATTTTGGGGAGACCATAGAGTTTGGGGCATCTGGATGATTTCTCTCTGGGAATGATTCTTTGCTGGATCTCTTCGCTAATGGGGGAGGCTTTTATTTTGGATCTGGTGGTTTTTTTCAGGTAGGTGGTGGGATCTGTTTTTAGGGGTTTGTATGTGGAGTCTTGGAATAAGTTGGTTAATTTGGTTTGGTAGTCAGATGTGTTCATAACCACCGTGACATTGCCCTTGTCTGCTGGTAGGATTATTATGCTGGTGTCTTCTTTCAGGTTACATAGTGCTATCTGTTCCTCTTTGGGTAAGTTGCTTTTGGGTGGCGTGCTGGTCAGCGGATTTGGTGATTTAGAGTCTGCTTTCTGTTTAGCATCGTCGGGGTGATTTTGGTCAGGCTGGTTTTCACAACTGACACATATAATGGTTTCAGTTGGGGATGTGTTTGGGAGTGACGGCAAAGGTGAATCCTTTGGAAAGGACATTGGTTTTTCCCTCTCCTCCGCTGGGCTTTGGTGAGGATCCTATCTGAGATGTTATGCACGTTTGTTTCATGTGTGGCTGTGGGGGAGAGGGTTTGTTTTGGTGTTTCTTGTAGTCTTTGGAGTTTGTTGGTGTGTGTATCTGTCTTGAGGGTGGTCTGTGTTTCGGCTCTCCAGACGGCGAGTTGTTTGGATTTGTCCCAAAGTGCGGGGTGGATCTTGTTGCTGAGTTTGAGTTGGAGTGTGAGGAGATTTTTGTTAATTCGGTTTAGGAGGAATCT